TAATGACGTTATGTGAGAGTATAATTGTTATTGATTGGTGATTGTAAGCAGAGCGGCCTAGGAACTCATTGCGAGTGTTGAAGCTGGCTTCTGCGAATGAAACTGCAAACTATCTTCAGTAAACTTGATTTATTTATTTAAATCTCTGACTTCGGCTCTTCTTCATCTACCAGACGGGTCATTCTTTGGGTCAAACTGTCAACTATCCCTACAAGATAAATAATAAATATTAATATTGTAAAACAATTAAATAATATTATAATAGAAAATAATATGACATAAAGAGAAAATTTGCGAATATTTATATATGATATTTAATGAGAAATTTATTTTTTATCTTATTTATTAGAATTATTAATATGCAGTTTCTTAATTTTGTTTTTATGTTTCCTGAAAATGGATGGACGAATTGATCGTGCTACAGGTATCTGTAAAACGTTGTTGGGTCACTTTTCTCACAGCTGGAAGGCCAGAAGTGCCCTAGAAAAAGCACAGAAGGCCCTAAATTTACCAGTACATTCCCTCATATCAGAAAGCCAAACAAGATGGGGTTCCAGACAGATGATGATCAGCAGGGTTTTAGAGCAGCAGAAGGCTTTAACTCAGGTTCTGTCCGAGGACAAGACGGCAAGGCATCTGATTCCAACCTGGCAAGATATAGATGTCCTGGAATCTGTCAGCAAGACACTGCTGGATTTCACAGATGCACTCTCAGGAGAAGATTATGTTAGTGTCTCCTATGTGAAGCCGGTTCTTCACCTCTTCAGCACTTCAATGCTATTAACGCATGATGAAGACACTGACCTGACTGAGACCTTGAAGAATGAGATGTTGCACTACATACACGAGAAATATAAAGTTGATGCTACTCAGGAGCTGCTAGATGTGGCATCTTGTTTGGACCCCCGATTCAAGATGGACTACATTAATGCAGACAACAAGCCCAAAGTAAAGGCCAGAATTGCATCAGAGATGATGGAATAACAGGAAGAGATCGTAAGCTGCAGCACTGAGGTACAGCACAAAGTTGCTGAAAAAGCCAAGAAGTCCTTGGGAAGTTTCTTTAAACAGAGTGGAGCTACAGCAAAGAGTGTTTTCTCTGTAACCATTAAGGATGCTGTGGAAGCAGAATTAAACAACTACTTACTGACACCTTCTATAGAAAAAGAGGAGGATCCACTTGCATGGTGGAAAACACACAAAGTAAGCTTCCCATACCTAGCCAATATCTCTATTCCTGCAACAAGTTCCCCATCCGAACGGGTTTTCAATGCAAGGGGCAACATAATCACCTGCCAACGTTCAAGTGTCAAGCCTGCAATGGTGGATAGACTTGTGTTCTTAGCGCTACCAACTTATCCAGCAAGTTTTTACGCAGCGAATGCTCTTCCAGCCGCAACCCATCTCTGGGCAAGAGAGGACACACACTCATACACTACGGACAATTTAGTACCCAATTCACCTGTACCGCATGTCTTTGGACTGTGGGGGAAACCGGAGCACCCACGCGAAGGCAGGGAGAACATGCAAACTCCACACAGAAACGCCAACTGAGCCGAGGTTCGAACCAGCGAACCAGCGACCCAGTGATCTTCTTGCTGTGAGGCGACAGCACTACCTACTGCCTCGCATATATATATATATATATATTTTATTTATCGTAAAGTTAATTGTTGGTAATTATTAGAACAAGTTTATCTTATCCACAATTTATTTGTTTTATAACGTTTATTTTTTTTTAAACCACTCAGGGGTTTAGTGTTTAGCTGTTTTTATATTTTGTGACAAGATATTTCCTTCTGTTTTGTAAATGTTGTAATAAAAAAAGTTTGTAATTGTCAAATAAAAAGTTAAATTACTTATTTTGTCACTCGTGTTAATTCCTAAATGTGATAATAAAGTGTCATCTTTGCATTCATCAAATGAGCTCACCTTTATCACGGTAAAAACAACATTTACTATTAATATCATAACGTATTAGATCCTTGATTTATCTGAATTGACAGTTCAGTCATATTTTTTATAAACAACCCAAAAGAAACTATAAAAAATGTTTGTTCAGTGTTTTTACTTATTCATTTTTTCATATTCTATGAAAATGCTTTAAAAATTACCGAAATTATTATAGAATTATTGCTTATCTCATTTTGGAGCAGTTTAAAACTCCCGATTCTGAATTTTAAAATATCGCAATATATATCGCAGGGAAAAAAATATCGCAATGTCAATTTTTTCCAATATCGTGCAGCCCTAACTCGAACTCCAATCATATTTAAAAACTCCAATTTTCTGTCAACTTTTCTCCAAAACCACATCCTCACCCGTTTAAACGCACACTGCGGTGACAATGTGTGTCAACTAACTGATATCTGACTGAATGTCATGACAAAAGCAGCACGCAGCCTTTGGTTTAATTTTCGACCGAAAATTGACTACAATTTACGAAACATGCTAACGTTTTATTGTTAATAAATAGTGCATCAACATTCTAGGGATAAATAATTTAACAGGAGGATCTCTGGAGAGCAAAAGCAGGAAAGGAAGCACAAATTGTGACTCCACATCAGGGGTGTCAAACTCAAATTCACAGAGGGCCAAAATAAAATAAAAAAAGAACATTGTCGAGGGCCAAATTTTTATTATTAATTCATTTATGTTTTTATTATTTTTAAGATACAGTAAACTACTGTATTAACCATCCTAATATATTACAATTGAATTTTTGCTTAAACACTGAAATAAGAACAGGTTTAAGAAAATAATAAAAACAAAAACTAAAAAATATATCAGGCTTCTAAATCTTTAACTTTATTCATTTTAATTGTAACCTAAACCTTTTCATCACAGATCATCAAGGCCAACACCTAAAAGAATGATTTCTTTCAACTTTGAACTGACCATGCCATCAGTAAATAAAATAATATTTATCAATTTTAGTTTTTTTCACTGTTCATTTACTCTGATGATGCACATGGGTCCAAGCCAGATACTTGGCATCGCTTTTTACATGCAAGTGCATCAATTTCTGGAGTCAGGCTCTGCGCAGAGGAAATCCTCAGGACTGAATGAAGGTGTTCATCGGTGAGACGACTCCTATGTGGTGTTTTGTTCATCTTCATTAACGAAAACAGTTGCTCGCACAGATATGTGCTCCCGAACATAGAGAGCATTTGCGCAGCTTGGGCACGGAGTTCCGGCAGCGTGTCAGGGAGGTAAGGTGGAAATTGCGCAGCACCGACAGAGTCATATTTTGACTTGAGCGTGTTTTGAATTTGAAGATTGCTTGGTGCGTTATTCACATCAAACGTAAAGGTGTTGCTAAAAAGTTCAAATCTAGCCTACATTTTTGGGCTTCAAAGTCAACACATCGTCGGACAAACTCGGCGCCAAGTAGAATGAGTTTTTTTAGCGAACTGTGCAAGAGGCATCACGGCGGTAGCGGTCTGCTCTTTTATGACTTGGCAACACAAAAAATTAGCCAGGTTTCCCTGCTGCATCTGACTCTCCCACAAGCGCAACCTGGTTCTAAAAGCCCTCACGGCGTTGTACATGTCTGTGATGACGTGCGCGCCCCCCTGAAGCTTCAGATTGAGCACGTCGTTCATGATGTCACATAGAAATGCAAGCTCACGTTGAAACTTTTCATCCCTGAACTCTGTTGTGTCTTTCCCTTTGCTTTTCATGAAAAGACTAATTTTCTCACGCAGCTCAAATCATCTCTTCGCACATCGGGAACTCTCGCCCCAGGCACCGGCTGCTCTCCTTTGGCCGCGCGTGGATGTCCAAGCACATGTGGTCAGAACACAAACGAGTCGCAGGTAATGAAATATTAAGCATTTCTTCCATTGGAAAGCCTGTCTTAACGCAACCGGCTGTTGCTCTTCTTTGCTCTTGTTTAGTATCCCCCGATTGGTGCAATGACGCGCGAACAAAATGGCTACGGTTGGCTACGCCAACTGGTAGCTTTATTTGGGTTCTTGAAAAAAATATGGATGACATCACGGATACTACATCCATATATTTTACAGTCTATGGTTTTACACAGCAGATGCGACCCAGTACTGGGAAACACCCATACACACTCATTCACACACATACGCTACGGCCAAATTAGTTTATCCAATTCACCTATAGCACATCCGTTTGAACTGTGGGGAAACTGGAGTACCAAGAGGAAACCCACTAGATCACAGGAAGAACATGCAAACTCCACACAGAAATGCCAACTGGCCAGCCAGGAATTTGGGGTCGCCACAGTGGAATGAACCGCCAACCTATCCAGCATATGTTCTCCACAGCGGATGCCCTTTCAGCCGCAACCCATCACTGGGAAAACCCCCTTATACACTCATTCACACACACACTCATACACTACGGTCAATTTTTTAGCATTCCCAATTCCCCTGTACCACATGTCTTTGGACTTGTGGGGAAAACCGGAGCACACGGAGGAAACCCATGTGAAAATGGGGAGAAAAGGCAGACTCCACACAGAAATGCCAACTGGCCAAGTTGAGGCTAAAACCAGCGACCTTCTAGCTGTGAGGCAAACGTGAACCAAGAAATTTTGTGCTCCTGTTGTACAGTGTCGTCTATGTGATGGAGCTCGACGTGAAAAAAATATACAAGGCAGAGTTTCTGGTGTGGTGCCGTAAGGCGTAGCAGGCGTGGAATTGGTTGTCGTGAACTATGCCACATTACGCAAGAAGAAGCAATTGAATCTTGGGTCACGACACCCATTTGTCAATTACAAATCCCCACGACACCCTACGTCAGGGGTCACCCATCTCATTCCTGGAGGTTCGGTGCCTTGCAGGGTTTAGGTCCAACTTGCCTCAACACACCTGCCTGGGTGTTTCAAGTATACCTAGTAAGACCTTGATTAGCTTGTTCAGGTGTGTTTGATTAGGTTAGATTAGACCTCCAGGAACAAAATTTGTGATCCCTGCCCTACGTCAAGGAAGTCGTGGTGAAATCGTGAGAAATTTGTGTGATCTGGCCAGGCTTTTACATGATTTTATTGTACACCTTCAAGCAAATCAGAATCAAGAATTTTAACAGACCATGGAATTAAGTATGTATACCTAGTAAAATCATTACATGAAAGGTAGCTGTCGCTAGAATGGTTTTACTCAATTGATTATTTATAGAAGTACTTCAGCAAAGATTTTGGACCCTCAGCCTTGTTCTCCAGAGTGGAGCCTCATGTGAGATTTGAAGCTGGTCTTATGATTGAAACTCTTTCCACAATGATGACATTTAATACCTTTAGAGTGGATCAATTCGTGCCTATTAAGAGAGTCTTTACGCACGAAACTCTTTCCACATTGACCACAAGTATATGGTTTCTCTCCAGTGTGATTGCTCATGTGACACTTAAGGTTGAACTCTCTCGAGAAACTCTTTCCACACTGATCACACGCAAACGGCTTCTCTCCGGTGTGAGTCCTCATGTGGCCAACAAGAGAGTTTTTACATCGAAAGGATTTGCCGCAGTGTGTGCAGACAAAAGGCTTCTCTCCGGTGTGAGTCCTCACGTGGAAGTAAAGGTTGCTTCTATGAGCAAAAGTCTTTTCGCAGTGAGGGCAAGCGAAAGGCTTCTCTCCGGTGTGAATCCTCATGTGGTTCTGAAGACGCTCCTTTTGGGTAAAACCATTTCCACAATGAGAGCAGGTGAATGGCTTCTCTCTGGAGTGAACCTTTAGGTGTTTTTCAAGGGACGGTCTTTGACGGAAACTCTTCTCACACTGAGTGCAGGCATAAGGTCTCTCTCCGGAGTGAATTGTAAAGTGGCTTTGAAGTGCTTGTAGTTGACTGAATCTCTTCCCACACTGATTGCAGGGAAATGGCTTCTCTCCGCTGTGAATCCTCATGTGGAGTTTAAGGTGCTGTTTTTGACGGAAACCCTTTGCACACTGAGGACACGAGTAAGGTCTCTCACTGGTGTGAACTCTCATGTGGACGTCGATTTTTGACTTTTGAGTGAAACTCTTGCCACACTGATCACACGTGAAAAGCTTGTCTCCGGTGTGAATTCTCATATGGACTTTAAGGTTGTGTCTTTGGGAAAAACACTTTCCGCAAACACAGCAGGTAAAATTGTTTTTCTGAACTCTTTTATGCGGTAAACTCTTCTTTGACTTGGATTTTTCATCAGTTGTTAAATCTTGGTGACTCTCTTCCATTTCATTAAGATCTTGAAACTCTTCTTTGAGCACCATCAGCTCTAAAGAGAAAAAAAAAGTATGGTAAATATTGTTCACAAAGTAGGTTATTATTCTCATGTGTGTATATAAGTTCACAATCCTTGTCATCCGTCCCTTGTCCTCCTATTTGCTCAATCTGTCTCGCCGGAAGCACTCATAGGGAGATTTGAACTTTCAGCTCAAGTTGAACCCTCAAGCCCCCAAAGTTTGTTTACCATCGTCTATCAAGACTGAATAAGCAGGTGAACTCAAGCACCCCGATTTAAAAGGTACAAAGTAACATGGAATATGATTAAAAGAAATTGACTATCAAAACCAACAACTGCATGTGTAACGGAGGCCAGCTAGTGAGTGCTGAGTGACTCCCATGCGGAAGGTCTCCGGTTCGATGTCAGCTCGGAGCGGGTTGGGTGACGTAGGACCGGCAGGGTTACATTGGTGCCGTGATCCGGATGGGAGTGAGGTTTAGAGGGGGGAGTGTAACGGAGGCCAGCTAGTGAGTGCTGTGCAGGTAAACCTCACTCCTCTGACAAGGTGCTCTAGCGACAAATGCTAGAGGCCATGGTCTTTAGCCTCCTTGGTAGAGCACCCGACTCCCATGCGGAAGGTCGCCGGTTCGATGCCAGCTCGGAGCAAGTTGGGTGGTGTAGGACCGGCAGGGTTACATTGGTGCCGTGACCCGGATGGGAGTGAGGTTTAGGGGGGTGAGTGTAGCGGAGGCCAGCTAGTGAGTGCTGTGCAGGTAAACCTCACTCCTCTGACCTCTAAAGGTGCTCTAGCGACAGACGCTAGAGGCCATGGTCTTTAGCCTCCTTGGTAGAGCAACCGACTCCCATGCGGAAGGTCGCCAGCTCGGAGCGCGTCTGGTGGCGTAGGACCGGCAGGGTTACACATGCAAGGTCTTACAGGTACAAAGAGGCATTAGATGTAATCTTAGAATGTTTTAACATTTTTAACTCATTGCTTTTTTAGGACACACAAAGGCTGATAGTTACCAAAACCCCTTGACACAGGATAGCTGGCTTGTTAAAGATCAATTCTCAAACATGTTTCATTCATGGCTTAAAGTCACCATGAAACAGAAGATTGTCCCTTTATCCCCATATAACGACTTAATTTAACTTAACATCTGATTTATATGGACCTACAATGAAAAAAGGGCTTTGGGAACTGATTGGATAGTTGGTAGATGGGTAATTCTAACAAAATTAAGATGAATGAATAGACAAGAGCAAAGCCCTAAAGACATTCCATGTGGCCAGAAGTGAAGTCATTTGGAGGGGGAGAGAAGGTTACAATATTTGATAGAAGATTATAATTATTATTATTATTATGAAAATGATGAAGTGCACAAATACATTGTTTGTAACAAACACTACAATATACATATAAGTATTTGAAGACATTTCGATAGCATTGCGACTTTAAATCTACATTCCAGACCACTCAAAGATGTATATTTTTTTCAACTTCTTACTTGGAGGTAATGTCTAGAACAACATTTCCCAACCTTACTCCTGGAGGCACACCAGCACTACACATTCTCTATATAATGGAATGGTTTCGAGGCGACGTTTAGAGGTGATGACATTCGAACAAAGTTTGAGTCTACCAGGCCAAATCTCTGAGACATTAACCTACTGCCTTCATGCACTTTCTGATTATAAGGACTGTGACTTTGAAGTTCAGGGCAATACTGCTAGGCTGATAGGATTCGCAGCATCTATTTATTTGAATACTGTTATGTTGAAGGGATCAGCACAGGGCGAATCCATTGCCAGGCTAATTCCTGTACGTCATTGCTTAGTCTCCAGCTCTTTGCATCACAACCCCCTGAAACGTTTATACAATTTAGTCCAACACTGCACTAAGTATCCTCGACAGAGGTATTTAAGTTATAGACATCTTTAGGATTTTGCTCAGGCTACTCTTAATGCTGTGTTCACACCACGGATAAGTCGTGCTATTCGCGTGTAAATATACACGTGAACATTGAGTTCACTCACTTCATTTGCGCGTCAAATTCACTGAACAATAGAAGCGGATTCAGGTCAATTGCTGCTGGCCAATAACTAAATGCACTACAGAATGTTACGTTTACACAAATGACATGTAAATGCTTTTGCTTTTAAATGACATTTTAAATGCTTCGCTTTTAACAGAGTAATACTCACTACTCTTGAGTACTTTTGAAAGGGCTACTTTTTACTCATACTTTGAGAAATATTTACAACAGATACTTTTACTCTACTTGCACTACATTTTTAGGCAGGTAAAGGTACTTTCACTTAAGTATGATTTTTCAGTACTCTTTCCACCACTGCCAACGACAACTAGAACCCCTGCTTTTCAGAGAGCACCTGAACCCTGATGAATAAAACCAAAACCCTTCTTTTCTCCACCACCCCCCTCCCCCTCCAGCACTAAATTCGCTGAGCACAATCAAGTTACTTTGTATAATTAGCACTTCTTGTGCAAAATTAATCGAAAAAAGATTGTGATCTCGATTCGACCCCCTAGACCAGGGGTGGCCAACCCTGTTCCTGGAGAGCCACCTTCCTGCAGATTTCAGTTGCAACCCATATCAGACACACATGCCTGTAATTATCACGTGGTGTTCAGGTCCTAATTAATTGGTTCAGGTGTGTTTGATATGGGTAGCAACTGAAATCTGCAGGAAGGTGGCTCTCCAGGAACAGGGTTGGACACCCCTCCCCTAGACGATCCTAATCCAGCATTTCTACGATTCTGCCAATCATATTTTCAAGTTCAGGAGAGAAGCAAAGGTGGCTGCATGAATCTTTACATTTTTTCACACACGTTGCTCAGCGACATGGACACCTCCAAATAGTGTTGTAAGAGTCACATACTGAATCTAAAAGGTGTAAATCACCTAAAAATGTCATCTTTGTCTTCATTTAATGCTGTATTCGCAACCGGGAAATCACACATGACGTGAGCTCCTGATCATGAGCTGTTATCACAGAGAGGGCAAGCGCGCGTCTACTTTAGTGAACAGAGCCTGCATAGGCTGTGAGTAACAGGTAATAAAGTTGTAAATAACTGCCAACTAGCGATTCAGAAGGGTTAATGCAGACCAACAGAGACAGCGTGCAGAAGTATAAATGCACAGCTACGCGCGTTGCATGCGCCGTGAGTTACGCCGGTCACTTGACGCAGAAGTATAAACCAGGCTTAAGAGTTATGATTGCGACAAGCATTTGATGTTTTTTCGTTCATTGCGAACACACAGCTGTGCATGAAAATAAATGTTTACAGTGTCCGTATAACTACTCTAGCCTATAAAATGTTGATTTTACCAGTGAATTAAATGGTCTTATAATGTTGTCAATGTCAGATTGCAAGCATAGGCCTATATGTCAAACATAATTCAACATCAGAATTATTATAAATAGAATAGAACTATTTGTAGAAACCAGTAGACCTACACATATTATTATTGTTGTTGTTTTACCATATGTTTGAGAAAAAACTAAAATAATTGCCGACTCATGTTAAGATTTATTTTACATTTACAGAATCGTGAGAAAATCGTGATCTTTATTTATAATCGCGATTCTCATTTCAGCCAGAATCATGCAGCTCTAACTTCTTGTGTGCATTGCCTCTTCGTTGAATCGCTAAATGGACAAAAGCATCTGCTGTATGACTAAATGTAAACGTATGACTGATGGCACACTAGGATCATCCACTGTGAAAATCATGTAACTGACCCTTCGCTTAGTCACACCCGTAAATCGCCACCCACCAATCGTGGCTTAGCAAGCGTAGCTGCACGCAGGAGCTCTGTCAAGCTTTCGAGCGAGGGAAACAAGCCAAAGTGTTGTGCATATGAATTGTGCAAATTTGATACCCGGTATCTTAAAAGTTTGGACGGGGTGGTGGAATTTTTTCCCTTTTCTAAACCAAAAACCCAAGAGGAGAAATGCCAGCGTGGATCAAGCTCTGTGAGGTGCGCTAAAGGAGCTGAGACAAGCTGGTTTTGTTTTCGATATTCCTGACACAGTCATAAACTGCAATAACTCACACACCTCTTACCTTAAACAGATCTAAACTGTGTTTCCTACAAAAATACAAAGCAGGTTCTGTTTCCCAGCTGTCTTTTTCTTTTTTTCCGCTCGATATTATGAGCACTGCTCCGTTTAAGCCCTCGCTATAGTAGTCATGCTAATAGCGATCATATTTCCATCTGTTTAAAACTACAAATATTTGAAAATACATATCAACAGAACAAAACCGAGATCACAATCGGAGCACTTACGATCAATACACTTCACCCGCAGCTGTTTTTCAGTCATTTATAACCCTCATGTCCATGTCAGAACTACAACTTACCAATGTTTTCGTCTGTCTTTTAAAGATTTAGTCATTAGTGACGACGTTATAGCGGGTTAGTGTCTGCTCTTTTATTTGTTGTCTGATTAATATTTGCTGGTAGGGAAAATCTATTTGTTCACTTCTGCTATTTATACTTTGATTTGCATTTTAATGTATTTATTTCTTCCACTGAACTGCAAATTAGAATAGAAACTGGATGAAGAGCACACAAACATACTGACAGATATAGGTGCTGTACATTGTTATAGTCAATGATGCTAATATTCAGCACAAATCCATCAGTTTCCTCTTTCTGGCTGCTCTTTCTATAAATGAATTATGTAGAAGAACTGTCCATGCGTAGTTCCTCGTCGGTTAGTAACGCTATATTTCATTGCAAAACAATAGTCTTTCAGGCTTTTTGGTTAAAAATAGAGAAATCACGGTTTAATTTGTTATTATTAGATTATTTTTAAATGTCACCTCTTTTGCTGTGCATGAACTAAGCTGGTGAATGTTCAGCATATGAGGCAGCTAGGCTAACCAAGCTTCAATTTTGATTTTTATTCTCTAATCGGTTGCCTATTATGTCCTGAATATACCCCTGTAACGCATACTGCAGTCCTTTTTTGGCTGGCTTTCTCGGATATCTCACCTGTTTGCCAAAAATTATATCCTTGGCAACGTCTGACACTGGGGCTTACACATTGTAATAGACGAGCCAGGCACGAAAGCTTGACAGGCGTAGCAACAGTAACTAAGGAGGGCGGGGCTGAGCGAAGGGTCAATTGCCTGAATATGGCCATAATGGCACTTTCTGCAAGGAGTTTTTATTAAAATATTCAGGAAATTAGAAATGTAATTTTCCCACATCCTGATATAAAACATCCTGCAAGTTTCAGGACTCGAAACGCTTCTGAGTTTGTGCAAACTGTTTCTTCTTTGTGATCGTAACATTGTATTTACAGTGAACTCCACCGTTGTTATACTGCTTTTGAATCTATTTCTCTATGACAGAAGTTGCACATGCAAGAAATGTCAAAGAAAATAGATTTGAGAAAGAAACCCAACCTGTTTGCTCCTCTAGATCTTCATGTTTGACTGTGAATGTGTCTTCAATCTTCAGGTCTTCACTCTCCTCTTTAATAAACGCCATCTTTATAACAGTGTGGAGATCAGTCGCTTCAGCAGAAGTTTTCCTCTGTGTTTGGACACTGTTAAAATGAGAACAACGAACAGAAATAAAAGAAATACACAATCAATCTGCGTCTCAATCAGCTCTCTAGTTCACTATTCTGTGCACTGCTGAGGGACTCAGACTGAGAGACGATAGTTAAATCACCTGAGTAGATAAAAAACTAACAAAACCAGCTCTAGAAATTTATAAGAGAATACAAACTATGCATACACACTATTTTGTGTTCAATATTACTCTTTCACGATGCAGTTGGTTTATAAAAACACCTCAGGTGTTTGTTGTTTCGTTTCATTTCCACTGTTTAGACCAGCGGATGACGTCAGCGCGCAGTGATTCGCGCGCTTCAAAAAACTGAATCAGTTCAAGAAACATTTGATTCAAATGACTCGGAGTTTGTAAAGCTCCGTTTTTTCATCTCTACAAACAGATTCACGATACAGGGAACAGTTACATTTTAAAGCGTTTAAATGAATGCTAGATAAAGCATAGTATTAATCGTGAATTAATAATACCTATCAAATCAAATGACATTGGCTGAATACTTGTGCTGATGTATTAAACTTTAAAAAATGTAAAGCAAAAAATGTAGTAATATAGCGTTACTAACCGACGAGGAAACACGCATGAACAGTGCTTTACATAATTCATTCAACCCCTTGTTGAACCTTAGCTAACGGAGCTCGGCGCCGCTTTATGACGTCACACACCAACGCCAAAATAAAACTCAGAAGATATACAAACAGCAAATTATAGGGACACCTGATGGTCAAAACTGTAAATGCAACAAAAACGCATGGAAGACATTATAATTGAGTTTTCCAGCATAGAGTTAAGCATTTTATATTTATTTATATGGGAGATTAGCTCACACAGTGCTTTATGCCCAACTCCCATGTGAAAAACCTGAAAATCCCCTCTTACTCTTCTTTCAGTTCTGGTAAACCTGATAATTTCAAACAATTCACCAAAAGTTACATACTTTAACTTTAAATCACCTTTAAAAATTATTTACTCATTCATTTATTAATTTTTGGCTTAGTCCCTTTATTAAACCGGGGTCGCCACAGTGGAATGAACCGCCAACTTATTCAGCACATGTTTTACATCCAGCCTTCCAGCCACGACCCATCTTGGAAACATCCATACACACTCATTCACACACATACAAAGACAATATAGCTTACCCAATTCACATATAGCGCATGTGTTTGGACTGTAGGGGAAACCGGAGCAGAGGAAATAACCCATGCCAACTCGGGGGACTCCACACTGACCCAGCGAGTCTTGAACCAGCGACCGTGCTGTGAGGCGACTATGCTACCCACTGTGCGACTGCGTCACCAAAATTATTTACTGTAAATTTGGAGATTTAACTTGTGTGTTTGTGTGAGTACAGTTTTTGAATTTGAAGTTTATTGTCAGTTTTATTAGCGAGGAACTTGTGTAGTGTTAAACTATTTAGTTAAATCCTGGTTTTGTAGTTAAAATAGTGTGATTTCTAGGCACCCTACTCCGCAGTTTATGTTCCAATAACTTTTAATAAGTTAAATGGTTAATGAAATTGTTCTCTGCAATAGCAATAAAATGTAGTACTGGTTTCTTTATAGCACCGGACTTTTAATTTGGTATTGGTGTGTGATGTCATAACGCCGCGCCGCGCTCCTGAATGTGCAGCTCAACAAAAGGTTTGTGCTATTATGTTCTTAGGTTTAAACACCAAACATTCAGAGTTATTAATTTAAGAACTTTAAGATTAAGCTAACTATATTAGCGACTATAAAACACACTTGTGTAACAGAAAAAGCGCGTCCCGTTTCTCCCGGTGTGTCGTTAATCTGACAGTAAACATGAACATGAATTCAGTCACTGGCGAGTGGAGATGAGGAAAAACGGAGCTGAGTCAATTGAGTCAAATGTTTACTAAATGATTCACTATTTCGAATCACTCGAACCACTGCGTCAGTCAAAACCATATTTGAGAAAACAAGAAACATACTGTCTCAAATTTTCTCCTCACACCTCCTTTATTTGAAATAATGGTAATATAGCCTGAAAACTAAAGATTTATTCTTAGTAAATTGGTTTAATAGAGACGTTAATCATCTTTTAAAACTTTTTGACAATTGAATTTCGCAATACTGTTTAACGTTAAATAATTTAATTGAGTTATTAATTCTATCCCTGTAAAAATTATGAAAAGGGGTGGTTCTCTTTTCTCAAAATATGGACTTTTGTGCAGTTATTTACCTCATTTTCGGTTTAATTATGATGTTTAAATACTCTAAGTGGCATTTTAAGCACTATTTTTAGTTGGATTAGTTTGTTGCGTCCTCCATTTTCGATGTACCTACAAATGTAAATATTTCCTAAAGATTCATAATTAAAAAATCTAAATAAAGAGCTTCACGATTTTCTTCTAGCCTCTCTTGAAAATTCATCTAACAACAACCAGTAAATTAGTATAAACAGCAAAAGTCAGTCTAAGGCACTCGAAAAAATGTGGAAAAAATATTAAAAGTCTTTCCCGACGTTCTTAGTTCCTACACGTTTTGATAACACTTAACTTCATCAGGGTAACCTGATGTAGCCGCAGTTTTAAGGAACATTCATGTCAATAAAGGCCTTTTATTATTTTTTCTGCATTTTTTGACTGATTTTGATGTTTATTCTGATGAATCCCTTACATAAAGAGCACCGACACATTATTTAAGCAACTCCTGAGAACTTTCAGTTTGATTTTGGATTTGCACAGCCTAATTAGTATTAAAATTGACTTTAATAGGCTGCTTTTGGTGCTTGGGATCTTTTTATTGGTCAGTTTTTCTCTCTCAAAAACAAGGTTCGTAATTTAAATGAAAAGTTAGGCTACTTGTACAATGTCTTTTTTAACAAGTCGGTCAATAGTGAAAGTTGACTTCACTTATGTCATATTGTGCGTTTTCTTAAAACCTTTGATGGGTTATTTCCACAATTTATAATAATTATGATAATTCTTTCGAACCACCCAAAACCCCTCTGGCTACGGGCCCGCTCTATCTGTTCTAAACCCAAAATTTCATTTAGAAGGTGTTGAGTTGACTGATTGAAAATGTACTAACAAACATATTCGTAATGTTTTTCCGGAGCAGAATAAAATTACTCCTAGAGGCAAATTTTGCTGGAACTAGGGATCCAACGATTATAGATTTTGGTTGTGCGATTTTAGTCTGAGGAATTATCACGGTTGTCACGATTATTATGCATTCATTAATTTCAAAACACTGCTAGTTTAGAAAAATCAAATGAATCGTTATATTTTAGAGTGTTGTTTATTGCTGCTCAGTAACCAAATGATACGACACAAAATTATAATATTAAAAAAAAAAACAATAGTTCAATTCTCTTTGGACTAAAAAATAAGTGAAAAATGTTTTGGTTTTTAAACATAATAATTATACACTGAAAATAAATAAAAACAATAAAATTATAATAAACAAATAAAATATAATAAATTACAATAAAAAATAAATAAAATGTAAATAAATAAAAATAAATTAATTAATTAAATGTAAATAAATAAAAATTAATGAAAATATATAAATAAATAAAAAATTATAAATTAATTTAAAATAAATTAATAAATAAATATTTAATTATTTTTAAATAAATAAAAAAATAATTAAATTAAATTAAAATAATAAATAAATTAAATTAATTAATTATTTGAATAAATAAAAAATGAATGAAAATATATAAATAAACAAAAATTTATTAAATGAATTTGAAATAAATGAATAAATACATTTTTAATTCTTTTTAATAAATAAAATAATAAATAAATAAATGTAAAATAATCAAAAAATAATTATTTTAAATAAATAAAATAAATTTCAATAAATAAATAAAATATAAATAAATTTTATTCAATTAAAATAAATGAATGAATTAATTAAATGTAAATAAATGAAAATATATAAATAAATTAAAATGTAATAAATAAATGTAAAATAAATAAATACATTTTTCATTATTTTTAAATAAATAAAATAATAAATAAATTAAAATAAAAAATAAATAAAATTAAAAATAAATAGTATTTGTCTAATGTAAATCTAAGATACATAATAGCTAAGTATTTCCCTTTTACAGTGATGAAATATTATCAAAGGCTGCTGAACCTTTTGATCAACTATATAACAAAATTGTTCATTTTGTATTTTTCATTTGTATCTTTCCCTCAGTGTAGGGCGCTTGCGGCATTCTTTCAACTAGTAGGTGTGCCTGGAAAGCACGAGTCCGTCGCTCCATATATGCAAGCCACGCGCCTCCATTGGAGACAACGAACTTGCTTGCGTAAAAGACGCGATATGTGACTGGCCCTTAGTTAATAGCCTCAGCCATAGTTAATCCAGTGTGCATGGTGTACAAGCTCAGAACTTTAAACTAGCACTCAGTTGGCATCACTTTGTTAGGTTGCAGCAGTTTTGTTCCATGCAGAAACATGGTGTTGAGAAGCCTTCACGATTACTTAACCGTGACGAATTAAAGCGCGTCAAATTGTTGCATCCCTACATGGAACTCTATTATAGTTTATATTAATTGTAAAAAAGCCTGGTTAACTCCCTTCAAATACACTAAGGTATTGTATTAATAATACAATTAAGGAAATTCATTTTAAAATACTACATACAATTCACCCAGTGAAATCTTTATCATCAAAGTACATTGAAATGGAGGATATCTGTGGTTTCTGCAATGCAGATAAAGAGAGCCTTTGTCATTTATTTTTTGAATGCAACGTTGTAAACAATTTCTGGAAGGATCTAGCCAAACATATATATATATATATATATATATATATATATATATATATATATATATATATATATATATATATATATATATAATTATTTTAGGGGGTTTCACCTTTATTGATAGGACAGTGGAGATTAGAGACAGGAAAGTGTTGGGAGCAGAGATAGGGGAAGGATCGGCAAAGGACCTCGAGCCGGGATTCGAACTCGGGTCTCCACGAGCACCTCGGTGCTATGTGTCGACGCACTAAGCACTAGGCTATTGGCGCCGACAGCCAAATATATTTTTGAAAGCACGAAACTTCGTTATTATTTTACGTTAAAAGATATCATTTTTAATTATAAAAACAAATCCAACAAAAGTCTTGAATATATTGTTAATCTCTTTATTTTATTGGCAAAATTTCACATAACGCACACAAATAGAAATTTGCTTAATCATCCCCCACATTGACAGTTTTTTGTATCGAGTTGGACTTCTTTATTTCTACCGTGAAATTGTTGAAAAGCAAAGATATGCATCAATTATTATGACACTTTTTTTTGATTCCCGTTTTATGTAGAAATGCTGTACACTCAAATTTGTGTAATTAAATTAACCAATTTATCTTTGTTTCTTTACCATTGTTATATTAGTTTTTTTGTGTTTCATATTTTGCATTGCGCTGTATGTTTGTTCCTGATGGCTATGCATTTAAAAAAAAGAAAACGAGAAACATGTTGAGTGACAACTTTTACAAACCAACTGCAAATGTTTTAATGAAAGCGTAATATTAAAAATAGCATACAACTCATGTAGTGTATATATAAATGATATCTAAACGAGTGCATGAATACATTACGCTCTCTTAGTGCTGGTTTTAAACGCGGATTTCTTTTATTTACTGTTCATCGTTCTCATTTTAAACAGGACAAAGTGTCCAAACACAGAGGAAAACTCCTGCTGAAGCGACTGATCTTCACACTGTTATAAAGATGGCGTTCATTAAAGAGGAGAGTGAAGACCTGATGATTGAAGAAACATTCGCAGTCAAACAGGAAGATCCTGAACAAACAGGTTGGCTTTCTTTCTCAAAGATCAACTCGGTCATTTGATTAAATGTCTGCTTTTACAGCATGTCACATGGCAGGTATATCAAACAGTTTTATTATTTGAAGGAGAATTTTGGATAAAGTATGCTATTGTATTGCGATCTTTACCATTTTGTAAATATTTACTAATAGCATTTAGGCTTTAGACATCCTGAATAACTTTACAAAAGTCTTACGAAATTATTAACGTCCCCATGAATCGAAAGCTGCGACCGTTATTTTTTTCGTATTGTGGTGCGGTTTCACTGTTGCTAACTATTTTCAATGAAAAGGCGCTAGGCTCTGCCCGAAAAGTCGCTAGATTACGTCATACATTCATTTGCATATTACTGACGTCATCACGTTCTACCGTTTCTGTTTGTTTAACAGCCTATGGTCAATAAGGGGGTATTTATATTCGCACTACGCTTTATGTAAGCATGTCAATTTAACTAAATGTATTGCTGTTTGAATACAGTATATCAGTATAGATGTGTAGAGGTAATAAACTCAGACAAGTTACGAAATTGTCACTATAATATCTGTGATTGTGATTAAATTAAATAGTTCAAATAAAGAAGAAGCAGATCAGTCTGACTGTACAAGGGAAATACCTCACACTGCCGGTGCTAAGTCATTTCCCATCAGAGGAGAGATCTGCTCCCAGGCTGCAGGTGGGAGAGGCTGCTGTCAGAGGACTGGGCTGCCTGTGAGTGCTCTGAGGCATGGGAGGGGCCGGCGGCATCACCCGCAGCTCGTTGAGAAGAGTAGGAACAGTACAGAATGAACACATGAGAGTCTAAAAAATCTCCAGTAAGACCTAAATAAGTCACTAGATTTGTCGCTAATCGCTTTCTTTGAAAATTTGTCGCTAACGGGGTCTGAAATGTTGCTATATACATATAATACAGCGACAAAGTCGCTAAGTTGGCAACACTGTACAGTTCCTAGGGAAAAGGAATATTAAACGAGTAAACAGTGGGCGTGGCTTTTTTCTGCTGCAAGCTGATTGGATGTAGTAAAGTAGGCATGTCATTCAGAAAGATTGTGAAATGGTTTGAGGAGAGTTATCAGCCTGTTAAGTAGTGACGTGTTGGCGACGTATGTAATACAGCTTCCGGGTCACTCATTTGAATTGAGAAAATATTCGTTCATGATCACATTAAAGTAAATTTTATTTAAAGTCATAGTGTACACAACAAGCTCTGGGCTTGCTGCATCGCAAATACCAACATTTTAACAATTTATAAAATAATTACTCACTTTCTGGCCATCGGATATTAGGCATGGATTTATATATTGCGATCGTGATTTTCGAAAGCTTTACAGCGCTAAGTAAATGTGTATTATTACCATTTCACCAGTCTACCCATATAGTTTGATAGAGCGCTTAGACGCGGAAGCCGCTTCACGAGACAAGCGGATTACAACCTAACAGACTCCTCCTCCTCACCATTTCTGTGTGTTGTCTAAACCAGGGATTCCCAAACTTTTTTATTCCGGGACCCACCTAGGCAAGTAATTCAATCTCAAGACCCACCATAATATTTTAATATGGAAAAATGGGTAAAAAAAATGTCTCCATTCAAAGCAGTCAAAAATATATGGTGTGCGGCTTTTTGGATTTTGCGATTTGAAATGCACAAAATGAGGCCCAAAGTGCTTTTTGTGGGATGCTGGCTGTAACTGTGATCATTTTTTTTGTAGAAAAAGATACTCTTCTTTTTTCAAAAGAGAATATGATCAACCTTTGATCAAGCCCCTGGATTATGATCAAGCCCCGTCATATCACAGTAAATTCCACTGCTAGTGTATAGTCATAAGAAACTAAATAGCTTTTTGATCGAATACTACAAGCTGGGAAAACGTCAGATAAATATGCCAATGCAATTAACGTTATTGCTGAATAGATCTAATATTTACACATTTGCTTGAGGAAGGACTGATGGGGGTAGTTACATTACTATTACTATTTTCCATACCATCTATGCCCTTCCATAACGTTAGCTGACGATAAAACTAACAGATAGCATTATAGCTATTTATTGATTAGCAATATGTCAAGGTTGGTATGTAAAAATTATGGGACAACAAATAGCTTCAAATGATAGAATACATAGCAAACATTAGAAAATATAAAAAATAAAATAAAAGGTTTAGCCTATTAAAATCATGGCCTATACAGAAATTAACTAAAGCTATAAAATCTAATTCACTTTTAATTGTATTTGCATATTGATTAAAGTTACTATAGTTATTTAGTGAAGAGCAGCAAATGAACCTCTCATAGTGTTTTGTTTGATAACAGATGAGTTAATGTAAGAATGCACAGATCTATAATGAAGCATTCGACTACTTTAGTAACTGTTTGTGCTCATTTAAGAGAAAATTAGTAGTGTTTAAAATAAAACACGCAGGACGGAGCAAAAAAAAAAAAAAAAACGAAAAAAATAAGCACTTTTCCGACGGTCCCTAACTGAGAGCTCCGCTCAGCACAAACTCTACCGACTAAACACAGATTGCGAGGGCTCAAACGGAGCAGTGCTCGTAATGTTGAGCGAAAAAAAAGAAAAAGACAGCTGTGAAACATAACCAGCTTTGTCTTTTTGTAGGAAACACACTTTAGATATTTCAGGGTAAGAGGCTTTTAAGTTATTGCCGTCAATTGTACTGGTTTTGATTCACCGCACTGTAAATATAGCTGCTGGTATGTGACGTTCCGCGACCTACCTTTGTTCACTGTGCGACCCACAGTTTGAAAACCCCTGGTCTAAACTGAGAGTTGGAGGGGCGTGGTTAAGCATGCTAGAAACACCTCAGACTAACCCTACTAGCTTAACTACATTTCTCAGTAGCATGGTGGTAGCGTCGCTACTTTATAAATCAAATAGCTGTTCAGTAGCGAAACTATTAGTTTAGTTAAGTAGCATCCACGCAAGCTATATTTACCGATCACGGATCAATAAGTGACAGCACCGACAAACGCGGAGCTGTGAGGCCGGCGTCTAGCCGATGAAAGTTAATCTGATGACGAGATAATGGCGAAAATAAAGATTTCTTCTTTCTGTTTTACGGCATTCAACAACAAACTTTTTGGTGCATTACTGCCACCTATCGCTCTGGTTGGTGAAGTCACCAATCAATTATTGGGCTGACACCAGAAACTTGCTTGATGGAAAGATGACTGAAGGAGAGGAGTTATATATTTATAATTTACTGTAGTAAAGGCTGAAGTATACTATGGTAATTACAATTTGTTCAGTTACTAATGATACTACGTTTTGTATTGTAATTTATTAATGAAGGGGTGTAAATATATATACAATATAATGCTCATTCCTTAACATTAATCATTAAACATGCAGCCCTACTAAAGTCATGTGCAGAATAGCGAATAAGAGTAATACAGAATTTGTTAAAGCTCCCATATATAAAAAACAGAATGAAACATTTTTCAGATGTTCGTATCAGTATTGTTCGTTTTTAAAATATCTATTAGCTAGTGTGCTTTAAAACTGACAAAACTCACGTTTAGAAGTTATAAAACCGATATAAACATGTAAAGCTTGCAGTTCGTCACTTCCGCATAAATGGGTCAGCAGTTTTAATTACGTCACCTCACATCTCAGTTTCTCATCAAATCATAACCAATCAACTACTCTCTAGTGTCTGACATGCTCCGCCCCCTTCAAGACGCTTTTCATTTGAAGCTCTTCTGCTCAGCCACTCTCACTGGCAGAGAGGTAATAAAAGCATAACACTATTGGCTGCTTTTTAAAAAGGGGAGGGGCTACACTGTTGAATACAAATGCAGGTTTCATGGGACTTTTAAAATTTTGTTACTAATTACTGCCCCTCATGTCATTCCAATCCCCTGAGCGCCCCATTGACACGGGGCTTCAGCGTCAACGCAGGCATGTCTGAAGTTGGGGCTGAAGCGATCGTCATAGAAGCGTCAGCCAATGAAATTCAGTCAGCAATAGGCCACGGTCTGAGCTGGTGCATTTGCATACAGCGATCTGATTGGCTGACACTTCTGTCGGTGCTTAAAAAGTTGAGCTAGTCCCAACTTCTGCAGCGAGAAACGCCTGAACGCCGCTGACACCCCATGTGAATGGGCCGTGAGACCTGCAAAACATTGCTGTTACTCTGATCCCAGTTTTATTTATGGAGAAAAATTACAAAGCTCTGCAGTGTTTGAGTGTTCCATGTTCGTCCGAGGTAATTATTCTACCGACATGTGTATATTCCATACAAGCTGAAGCTGACCGGTCAGTTCTTGTCACGTGGCTCGCAGTGCGCTCGCCGCATTCATGTAACTTAGTTTGTCTGGTCTGGAAGGCACGAGGACGTCACACACCTCCATTGGAAATAACGAACTAGCATGAACTCTAGAAAAGACACGATACACCTGAGGCTGCCGTCATTTTCGATCTCCAGGAGTTGATCTTCTTGCAGAGCCTTGCTGGATTCACCTGATTTGTTGACAAATGGGTTGCAGACCCTGTCCTTGGCAGTTTGCGGGTTCCTTACTGGACCTTTTCCCCTTCGCAAAGAAACTTTCCAAAGACGTCTGTTTCTTACTCATTTTGCTGCTTGTGGGTTGAATTTGGGCACTCATTTTTCAAAATAAGAGATCGTTCAGATTTCGATAATATATAAAATGAAAATAAGTAACGATTTCTTGTGCGGCCCGGTACCAATTGATCCACGGACTGGTACCGGTTGAGGTATTGACCAGATTTCGATTTTTAGATGAACTGATTCTTTAAAATTCGTCTGAAGTTACACCCAGCTCCTCTGACTTTATTCATTCATTAATTTTCCTCCGGCCACAGTGGAATGAACTGCCAACTATCCCAGAATATGTTTTACGCTGCAGATACCCTTTCACCTGCAACCAAGCACTGGAAACACCAATACGCACTCATTCACACACACACACACACACACACACAAACCGGAGCAGGAAACCAACGCCAACATGAGGAGAACATACAGACTCCACAGAGACGCCAAGTGACCCAGCTAGGACTCGAACCAGTGACCTTTTTGCTGTGAGGCGACAATGCTAACCACTGAGCCACCATGCCGCTACTCACATTAAATATTACAGTTATAATAATATTAACAGCAACGTTCACACACAATACGCAGATGATTCGGTGGTTGACTAGCGACATAAAAAGTGCACTTCACTTTTTCTTGTCAACAAAAGCCTTGCGTTCTCAACACAGAAAAGCATGTTCGTTGTGATCGGCCCCAAAGTGTAAAACTGAACATAGCCAAGGGGCCACTATTCTTCTATAAATATAGACAATAATAATGACTGATTGGGGATTGTCTGCCTTATATCTGCCAACACTCCCCGTTTTTCTAAGGAGTCTCCTCTATTTCACACCCCGCCACCCTCCCGTTTTGTTATTTCTCCTGGAAAACTATTGTAATTTCACTCCCCACCTCAAGTCCTCACCTTTTTGGTACAGAGTCCAACACCACACCTGGTTGTCAACTTTGGTATAGTATCCTACTCCCACGATTACCGGTCCGTGTGTAACAGAGGCAAGATAGTAAGGTGCTGTGCAGGTAAACCTCACTCCTCTGACCTCTAAAGGTGCTCTAGCAACAGACACTGGAGGCCATGGTTTTAAACCTTCATATTAGAGCAACCAACTCCCATGCGGACGAGCGCCGGTTCGATCCCACCTCGGGGCGGGTTGGGTGGTGTAGGACTAGCGGGGTAACACATGCTACAATTATTAATACCACATACACCACCCACCCCTTCAGGTTCTCAACTTAGTTACTCAGACCACTACCATGCCGCCCCAACTCAGACCACTACCATGCCGCCCCAACTCCCTGCCCCTACTAATGGTCTCCTGGAAATTCTGAGACATATGTTAGGAGGTATGGTTTGCTGTAGTAAGGGTTTTGGTACCTATAAGCCTTTGCATGTCCTAAAGAAACCAGTGAGTTTAATATTAACACATTATGAGATTACCTGTAACTTTCAGGCTCTTATTGCTTATGAGATGCTACATATTCTTGGTTATGATGCCTATGTTGGCTTTCTTTGTGCCTTAAAACTGTAATCTTTTTCTCTTTAGAGCTTATGGGCCTGAAAGAAGAGACTCAAGAGCCGAATGAAATGGAGGAGAAAGATCAGTTTGAGAAACGGCAAGATTACATGTGTCGGCAGTGTGGAAAGGGTTTCAGTTACAAACAGAACCTTAAGGTCCACTTGGGTATTCACTCTGGAAAGAGGCCTTTCAGATGTGGTCAGTGTGGCAAGAGTTTCAGTCAAAAGCAAGCCCTCGAAGGTCACATGAGAGTTCACACCAGAGAGAGGCCTTACTCCTGCACGCAGTGTGGAAAGAGTTTCACTCACAAACACCACCTCCAGCACCATATTAGGATTCACACCGGAGAGAGGCCGTACGCCTGCACACAGTGCGGAAAGAGATTCAACCAGTTGCAAGTCCTTAAAAACCACCTCACGATTCACACTAAAGTCAAGCCTCATGCTTGCACTCAGTGTGGGAAGAGTTTCAGTTTAAAGAATAGACTCGAGATGCACATGAGAGTTCACACTAGAGAGAAAACAAGCACTTGCCCTCATTGTGAAAAGGTTTTCACTCGAAAAAGCAACCTAACTTTACACATGAGGATTCACACCGGAGAGAAGCCCTACTCTTGCTCACAGTGCGGTATTAACTTTCCATATAAAACCACTTTAGATACTCACATGAACAGTCACATCAAGGAGAAGCCGTTCATGTGTGTACAGTGCGGAAAGAGTTTCATGCGGAAGAAAACCCTCATTAAACATATGATGAATCACTGAGAAGAGTATTGTCTTGTATATTTTGATTGTGGAACCATTTGCAGTCATAAAAGAAGCCTCGACTCTCATATGAGCTTTCACCTAAGTCTTATGGCAAAGAGGGACTTCGTGTTCATCTGACAAGTCAAGGGCTGTTTCCCCAAAGATGTGAACTGGACTATTTCGACATGATTTCAGCCCCAATTTTGACTCGCCAACAGGTTTTGAGAACTTGCAGACTATTGCCTGGAATCACAGGCAAATCGGTGCTCATAACAACAAAGACTGTAGAACAGGGGTCATCAAACTTGTTCCTGGAGGGCCGGTGTCCTGCAGATTTTAGCTCCAACCCTAATCAAACACACCCGAACAAGCTAATCAAGGTCTTACTAGGTATACTTGAAACACCCAGGCAGGTGTGTTGAGGCAAGTTGAAGCTAAACACTGCAGGGACACCGGCCCTCCAGGACCAGGATTGGTGACCCCTGCTGTAGAATATACAAGACGTGTCACTCGTATTGTTTCGAATGTGGAAAAGTGCAACAGTCAATATGGTCAACAAAGCCCCACCTACTAGTAAAGGAGCCAGTCATTGATCTCTATAGACTGATGTTTCTTCAGGGATAAGCTCGGACCAGACGTGTGCCTTTACAACAGTTTGGTGGTCAACAAACGCACTGGAATCTCAGCATATACTTGCTTCACAGACATAAGAAATATATCCAAAACAGCCTGAAATCTCCTCTTTTAAACGAACCAAGCACACTTGAACAGCAAAAGTTTTCTGGTTTTGTAATCTGTGTAAAACGAACACAAGGTACAGTCCTTCCTGTCAAACGCGCATCACATGACAACACCCACAAACTTGTAAACAAAGGGTGACTTTCATTCTGGAGGAGATTTGCCATCAAGACCAAGTTGTGGACGACTTCTGAAGGGTAGCACGTTCGAACAAGGCGTTATTAAGAGGATGATGATGTGTAGAACGAGAATAAATGAGGTCGGTGTCGTGATCTCGTTCCTTTCAGGTGCGCATTTGATTTCATTTTGTTTGATACACACATTTAGAAACGAACCTTATGCGGAAGTTGTTGTTTAATTTCATTGGTGATTCCGAATATGTAATGTAATGATCGTAAGATTGGACAGAAAATCGTTGCAAAGATGGCCACCGAGTGAAATGACTTGCCATATAGCGACTTTGATATACCTCGTAAAGTAAATACATTAAAGGTAGCTGTCACTAGAACATTATTACTCAAGTGATTATTTATAGAAGTACTTGAGCAATGTAGGACACCCGTACAAGTACTTGGACACTCACCCTTGTTCTCCGAAGTTCTCAGGCAGCGGTTGATGTTTTATTTTATTGGTGATTCCAATTATGTAATGTAATCGTAAGCTTGGCAACCAGTTTTGAAGAATTTGATCATTCCCCATTGAGACAGAAAGCCTGAGCATACTGCCCGAGAGGCGTTTCAAAGACGGCTGCCGAGAGAAATGACTTTACTTGACTTTTCTTATAGGGACTTTGGTTACAATCACACAGTTTGAGCAATCAAAGACGTGAGTTGCAGATGAGTCACCGACATCCATCAGATATTTGGCATGATGAATATCTGGAGCTGTCGGCAAATCAGAATCATGTGGTGCGAAATGTGTTCTGATTGAAAATAACATCAGCTATTCCCTAGGGCCAGGGGTGCCTCTGGCCGCCCTATGACAACCTATCACCTTTCAAAGTGAAGAGTGGGGGGGATGTATCGTGGACAAAAGTGAAGAGCGGGTGGGGAAGGAGTCCCCAAAATCCGTGGCCCTTAGAATCGTCCAAACTCCACCCCCCCCCAGTGGCGCCCCGGCCAATGAGAGCAGCTTCCACAAGTATAGGTTTCTGCATGGGTATCTTTTTGGTCTATTTGGACCCAGGAAATATAGGAAAAACTATAGTATAAATTTGGCAGGAGCACCCGTGTCTGTCTAACGTGTCATCTGAGCAATACCACAACCGGCTCGAAAAAGAAAAACGCTTGAGTTAAATTCTTTTCAAAGGCCAGGTGAGCAAAATAAATCAATTTTCTACCCCATTAAAGCCGTCTTTCTCATTATGTATTTAATAAAAAAAGATATACTACGTGACCGCACGTTGTTTCCCTGTCGCTTCTCGCAAGTGTTTGGTTGTGAGACGGGGTTTGTGGATCAAGACAATGTTCTCGGCGATTCTTCCTATTGTAAAGTCATGCAGTGTAAAACCCCCTGTCGCTGATCACATGATAGAACGCTACCCCAGATAGTCATGCAGTGTGAAAACATCCGTGATCCGACTATTTTAAAAATCGTGCAGTCTGAACTCGCCATTACGCACAATACTGTAATATCGCATGAAACATTTGCGTATAAAGCAGCGTTTTCATCCAATGAGTCCAAGAGAACAAAACGATCACTTCCTGATAAGCTGGCGCCAAAAATCAATAAGAAAAATGTAGTTTTGTACGGTGGGAGAAGGTCTTTTTTTTTATGAATGAGTTTTGCCTCAGAAGAAGAGGATTAAAGGCAATGCCATGGCTTTTGGAGGCGAGAGACGCTCTTTGGGAGCGCAGACCGACGCTCAAGACAGTTCTGGAGGTAATTATAATAATAAGACTGAACCACTGTGATGACAGACTTTGGCTGAGGCATTTGGAAAATGAGCAAAACAACATTTCAGATGTTTTATAATGTACTGGAAATGCTGGGTTGTCCATTAATGTCTTATCAAGCACATTTTATCATCCGAAAATGAGATTTTTAATGATTATTCTGGAATTTACTTCCATCATAGTTTGATTATTATTATTTTTTTGAATCAGATAAAATGCTTATCCTAAGTTGTGCGCTTTTAAAAATGTATGCAGGGTTCCCATGTTTCTTGTAAGTACTACTTGAATTTCAGACATATGGATACAAGGCCTGGAAAGTACACACAAACAAACACAGATTAATCTAAATAAAAATTGTTTATAGTTTTAATTTAACAATTGAACTCAATTGTCAAAAACACAAGGAAAAAAAATGAAATTCTTAAAGTAAAAATAAATCTACATCTTGACTAACATTGACTAATTTTTCTGCACATCAATATTTCAGAGACCATATTTAAATATTACCAGTGTGGAATTCAACACATTTTTTAAATTACTGTTTAAAATGACTAATGTAAATATGAAGTGTAAGTAAAATGTTAAGTACAGTAAGGACTTTCATGATGCTACATATTCAAAGGTGTTTGATTTAAAATTATTGTGCTTTAAAATGTCCTTGAATTTGGGGTTTATGAAAGTGTGGGAACCCTGTGTATGTTTCTTGGCTTTTCCATTAAGCATGTTCTGTGTGATATACCAAAATGTGCATGAAAATAAAAGGAAGGAAACGCACAGTAAGGTCCATAAATACTGGGACATCGACACAATTCAGTGTGCTTCAACTGCAGACTGTCAGCTTTAGTTTGAGGGTATTTACATCCAAATCAGGGGAACGGTGTAGGAATTATAGCAGTTTGCATATTTGCCTCCCACTTGTTAAGGGACCAAAAGTAATGAGAAAGAATAGTAATCACAAATAAATCAAACTTTCACTGTTTAATACTTGGTTATTGACCTGACTGTGGCCATTAATAATGATTCTAGCATTTTGCCTCTTTTTCTAAAGCTACTAAAACACAATTTGTATTCGGTAAAGAGTTACAGAAATAAAGGAGACATGATGATCATGACGCATAGTTCTCCTCGGTTGTGTTTTTTGTTTGTCATTTCTTGCACGAGAGATTGTTTTTATTTTTTCCATGATATATAAAAGCCTGCTGGGCGGTGTAGATCAGTGTTTCCCAACCCTGTTCCTGAAGGCACACCCAACAGTACACATTTTGGATGCCTGACCCATTAACTTCAGGATTTCTTCTAATGTTCTGATGAGTTGATTTGGCTGTGTTTGATTTGGGAGATGTTGAAATTGTGTACTGTCGGTGTGCCTTCTGGAACAGGGTTTGGAAATGCTGATCTAGACAAACTACATTAAACGCAGTCTTGGTGGCATTCAACTAAACGCATTTTTGAAGAAGTATGTGAGATTTAAGGTTTGGGAATTCTGAATTTTATTCTGAAATGAAAGCATCAGAGTTTATGTCATTTGCTAGCTTATAATGACGCGCGACTCTCATTGACAGGTGATGATCCGATCTACCTGTTTACACTGCAGACACTAGGGAACTGATCTGATTCTTATCTGATACATTTCCACACATGTACAAGGCCTGAATCTGATTTGAGTAAATTGGATTTCATGTGATCTTTTCCTGTTTACGTATCCCATCTGTGCCACATGGGAGAAAAACAGAATTGGGTCACTTGAACCCTGCAGTGTAAATGCAGTTCTCCTTGGAGTCCTATTGTTATGAATTATCACTTCTAACATTCTCCTTGCTCTCCTGTGGTATTCCTGATCTTGTGGAGACCGTTTCCAGGTTTCCTTGCTAACAAACTTATGAGAAACACAGAACCGTATCCTTGTGAGATGCTCACCGCATTTCTGCTTTGAATGAAACCCTCGTCCATCTCTGATAGTCAGGCCACGATAAAATACGTTTAAAATCTGCATAATTGTGATTGTCAGATAGAAAATGTTTAAATTACATTTATATTTTAGAGAAAGTAGTTTACAGAGTTGGGAGTGAGGCGTTTCACAGTAACTGTATTCATTTTTGGGGAATGCAGTAATGTAACGAGTTACATTTTTAAATATGTGTAATTTGACTACAGTTACCAAAGTCAGTGTAATTGCGTTAATTGCATTACAAACAGGGCAGGCGCTTCCATAGAGGCGACCTAGGCGGCCGCCTAGGGCGGCAATAAAGAGAGGGCGGCGTCCGCGACACCTCCCTTAAGGCTGATTTATACAGCTGCGTCAAGCGCACGCGTATGCTACGGCGCTGACGCATAGCCCTACGCCGTGGCTGTCGGCGTCGCTGACGTGCACCTCTCAAAAAATGTAACTACACGTCCCAACGACGCGTAGCGCAAGCTCTGTGATTGGTCGACTTGGTAGCGCTGACGAGTCTGGGCGGGACCAAGAGCAGTGCGAGCGGCACGAGCCCAATGGAGCGATTGTTTACAAGTGTGGAGTCCTGCGAAAGAGCTTCAGATGGAAAGTTTTGTTTTGTGTTCGCTGCAGAAGTTGGGACTAGCTCAACTTTTCAAGGGCCGACGGAAGTGTCAGCCAATCAGATCGCTGTATGCAAATACACCTGCTAGACAGTAGCCTATTGCTGACTGAATTTCATTGGCTGAGGCTGCTATGACGATCGATTTAGCCCTAACTTCAGACACGCCTTCAT